ATACAGAGAGAGAGAGAGAGAGAGAGAGAGAGAGAGAGAGAGAGAGACAGGACAAAACGGAAACTAATACAACAACTTGTTGTTTTTCTCTAGGCCTGGAAGGCCTTCTCTCAGTGTTGCGGGAACCCCCGCGGTGGATGGCACCGCCCGATGGCCAAGTGCTGCTGGGGCCGCGCCTCCCTCACTGGGACTGCTCCTGTGGCTGCGCGGGCAACTGGGCGTCGAGGATCGCGCGCCGTCCGTGCGGGCGCCCAGCGGCACAGGAACACGTCCAGGCGGCACGCCTTGCTGCGTCAAGGGCCAAGACAGCATCGCGGCCGTCGGGTCCAGGACCCAAGCAGCCAATGGGGCAATGGGCGAACGGACCGCCAAGGAATGCCAACTCGAAGTTGCTCAAGCAGCTCCAGGACCTGCAGCAGCAGGCGGCGAGGCTCTCTGGAGGGTCTCGGCCCGAGACTGGGGCTGCGCCGCCATGGGCTGGGGGGGGGGCGGTGGCAAAGGCTGTGAAGCCCCCCCCCCCCGCCGCTGCTGGGCAGGATGTGCTCGCCTACCTCAAGAAGTTCGGGGCCGACATCGCGGCTCTTCTGGCGGTTGAGGAGGCGGGGCAGAAAGCTGCGGAAGCAGGGGAGAAGTCAGCCCCCACTGCGCAGTCGGCGCGTTGGCGGGTCCAGAACCCCAAGACCAAGCTCGGCAAGCTCGAGGCGAGGGTCAGCGAGATCGAGCGGCATCGCGACTCTTGGAACATGGAGCTTGCGACGGTCAACGAATCCTTTGCCAAAGGGCGCGAGGACTCGAGGACCTGGCGCAGGCGCAGGAGCTGCTTTGCAAGGCCCACGCCAGCGAGTTCGACGACCCGCTCAAAGCCATGTCGGCAGGCCTCGCTTCGTCCGTCGTCGAGTCCACCGAGGGGAATCCAGCGTTGGAGAAGCTACAAGAGCAGCAGCGTGCAGCCGAGGAGGCGAAGCGCGCTGCTGATGATGCTGCAGCAGCTGCTGGCGCTCCTGCTCCTGCCCCAACAGGGAATGGCGAGCACGTGGCTGCCAGCGATGGGGACGGAGTCGACATCGACATGGAGCTGCTGGGAGCTGACGACTTTGAGCAGCGGACCGAGGAGCTCCGCAAAGCAGGAGAGGAGCTCTAGGCTGCTGCCCCGCGGCCGAGGCAGACGCGCTCGACCCGCAGGCGTGGCCCGAGCTGGGCGCGGCTGGGCGGCAGCCGAAGCCGAGGGGCGCGCGCCCGAAGGGCAGGGGAGAAGGGGGGTCAGACCCCATTCGGCTGACCCTCCTGCCCGCAAGTGCTTCGAGTTCAAGTGCGAGCTGCGCCTCTTCGGCGTCTCCCTGTGCTGCCCCAGCCGGCCAGGGATGCGCCCCCCTTGGGCTGGGGCCAAGTGCGAGCCAGGCAGGGCCCGCGGGATCGGCTTCAACGGCAGGGACATCGGCGGCGGCCTGGAGTTCGGGCGCGGCCTCCTCTTCCTCGGGCCCGCCGCCGTCTGGGAGTTCGTCGGCGTTCGGGCGCAAATCCTGGGGGGCCGTGGGGCTCTCGGGTCCACTGTCGCCCCCTGCTCGATCCCCCCCCCCCGGGCGCCCCTTCCACTGGGGGCGGGGGCGTCAGCGCGTGAGGGGGGGTGGGCAGGGCGTTCGCTGGACGCAGGCACCAGGGAGCTCGGCTATCGGGCGAGCTGCTCTCTCTCCTCGCCGCGTTGCGCTCGATGCAGTTTCGAAAACACGTCAGTCAGGAGCCGACAGGAGTGGGCGCGGACTTCCTGATCGTAATCTTCTTGCAGACGAATGCGCCTCTGGTGTAGCTCAGGGATCTACTGTTCTGCGCATCGCAGGCGCCAATGTCAACAGTTGGTTGGCAGCAGACACAGTAGTGAACTGGGTCCGCGACATGGCTGAAGCTGGAGATCCCGGAGTTGCCTCGTGGAGCCTCGTTCAGAACAAATTCCAAGCGGTCGCCCTCCCGGAGACTCGTCCGCAGGCCCCGACAAGATTATTTCTGCCCAAGGGTGGGCCCGCAGAAGTGGATGCCGGATGTCTCTTGGGAAAGCTATTAGCACTGGTGATGGGCCCCTTCAGAGTTCAGAAGGAATGGGGGTCTCGGCCGCGGGGGAGATCGCCTCGAAGCCCTTGGGGCTCCCAGGAGTCGGCAATTATGACGGGGGGATCGTAGGTCGGGTCGTCGACGTTGGTTTCGACGAGGGCCTAGAGATCTACAGTGTCTATTTGATCAACGACCTAGGTGTTGCAGGTGGGAACTCAAAGATTTTGGGAGCGGTGGGCGCGACCTGCCTCTCCTCTGCAGCAAGAAGCCGTGGGTCGTCCGAGGGGGCTGGAACTTCGCGCCTGCGGCCCTGTCGCTCCCCGGCTGGGCCCAGCGCGTGCGCCGCGCCCAACAGGCCGACTTGCTCTGCCCGCGCTCCTAGGGCGGTTTCGGGGGGAGCTTTGGAGGAGGAGATGGCGGAACATTATTATATTGGAGGTCGGGGATTGACTTCTTTGTCGTCTCGTCGGTCATCAGCGCGTATGTGAAAGACGCCCAGGTTGTCCAGGGATCGCCTCGTTCCCCCCTTCGCCCCGCGCTGCTTCGGACGGGGGGCCTCTGCCAGACCGCAGTGGTCTCGCAGCAAATGCGTTTCGAGCCGTTCAGCACCGCGCTGATGGGCCCACTGCCGCAGGAGCGGGACGTCCAATGGAGTGGCCCTCTAGACAATGACCTCGACGCCTTGCCGCGGGAATTGTTCTGCGAAGCCGAAGTTCGATTGGTTGAGACCCATGAGATATGCGGGCCAAAAGGTTACGTTGGTCGCTCCGCTGGGCCCCAGGCCCGCGCGGTTCCTCTTGCTGTCTTCCTGGAGAGGGATCACCGTCGTCGTTTTTCAAGCAAACGGTCTGCTGGATTTCGTCCGAGGCGCTGCTCAGGAAAGCCAGGGCCATCAGCTTGGGGAACGCATGGGGCCAAAGGGAGAGCGCTGCTAGGGTCCTGGAAGTCCATGCTGCTTAACATCCTCGACGATTTGGAGCTTGCCGACGAGGGGCCCACCAAGGCCCAACTGCTTGCCATGGTCCATTCTGCGTTGGATACGGGCCCTTGGGACATGGAGATACACGAAGGCATCGACAAGGAATGCGTTCGTCGCCAGCGGCTGGACTCGGCTCTGCAACTGGCGAAGTGGAAGGGGTGGGCCAAGAACGGTGCTATTGGAGGGGGCAAAGCCGCTCGCGCCTTCTCCGAGCACCAGGTCGCGAGCATCTGCCCGAGAGGTATC